TAAAATAATTCCTGATGTCACTTGGGGGCGGACGTTAAATTGCCTCTTGATCAGCCAGATCATCCGAGTGGAAGGCTCGTCGGCGTACGAAGGTAAATAAGAGTGTTGTGGCTGCCTTGCTCGACGATAACCCGAGGCACAGGGGTGGGACCGGATTGCACACCTTTGAGACACGCTTGGCTTCTGATGCAAAGAAACGTGACACCGTGACATTGGGAAGAACAAAGGGAGGGGTAGATTTCAGATGATAAGTTCGGGTTTAAATTCCAAACTGTGAACAGACCCGGTCAGTCAACATTATTTTTATTATTGATTAGTTAGATGGACAGCCATGTGACATCTGACAGACAACATTAGTTTAGAATATTATCTATTCCTGATGTTCTCTCTGTTTGGGAACTAATCTTGCTAAAAATAGTATTGACAATAGGAACCTCACTTACCTGTTGACCCCAAATGAGATCTGTTCTGATAGCCACCACTAATTTGTTGGTCTGTGTACTATGCTGCGGTAGGCATCTAGAATGATCTAGTGTGGACAGTGCACACAGTGTTGTAGCCTATGAGCGACGAGGAGGACACCGGAGAGGACGACCGCATGACCTTACGATCGGCTAGAGGACCGGTATCCCATGTGTCAATAGGACCGGAGGAGAGTGATAGGGAACTGTTCCGCGGACAAAGGGAAAGGAGAGCTAGAGCAGCCGAGGCCAGGAGGGCATTTGCTAGTGAGGCCAGTGCTATAGCAGCCATGGCTACCACAACCATGAGCACGTCTGCGCAGCAGACTTCCCAAGCCAGAAGTTTAGGTACCGTCGGGTCCACGGTCGTACAGACCGTGAGTCAGTCCACTGGCTTAATGGCAAGCCAACCCGCGGTGTTGTATCCAGAGGATGTCGCCATCCAGCAGGCAGCCCTGTAAGAGGCACAACTACAGCAGGCATTAGGAAAGATAAAAAGGGAGAAAGAGATGATGATTAGAAGAAGAGCCAGGATGCAACAGAGAGGGGCAGACATAGAGGAGTTAGAGACGATGGACCTGACGCATGTGGATGATGATGTGAAGGTAGTTAGGAGGGCCCTGCTAGGCGTAATTGAGATGCAGGAGCATCAAACTACCCTCCTTCAGGACATTCAACAAAGCCTAGCCGTGTTGGTAGGCCGTGCTCAGGCAGCACCATCACCAGTAGGGCCTGGTGCCTGGCCCGTGCCATATCCTCCTCTTTCTGTTCCACCGGTGACTGGGGTATCCCCATATGTAGCCCCTTCATCGGTTGCTATCATTTCCCTGGGCATGCCTCTGTCAGGAGGGGTAACAGCAGGGAGTAGTTTGCAGGTTCCTGTTCAGACAGTGTTTACTCCAAGTCCGTCATAGGTTGCAGTCAGCACAACAACCTGTATCGCCGGGTCCACAGCCCGGGTTGGTGCAGGGACCGGGACAAAGTCAGTGGGTTCCAAAGACGGCCATCGCCGCTCCCAAACCCTTTACAGGGGAGAAGAGAGGCGAAGATCTCGACACATGGTTGATGGCAGTGCCGGTCTATGTCAGGTGTAAACTCACCTTGCCACACGAAGAAGTGCTTGTGGCTGCTTCCTACCTGGAGGGTAGTGCAGCGAGATGGTTGAGTGGGTTAGTGCAACTCCAGGGGTACGGACATGACTTCCGCTCTTGGGCAGCCTCTAAAAAATTGGAGGACTTCCTGAAAATGGTGGAAGACAGGTGGCATGATCCGCAGGAGGCTCAAAAGGCCACTGATGCGATCCTGACACTGCACACGCGGTAGTTTAAGTTAGTAAGGGATGCCATCGACGTTGTAGAGCGTTTGATTTGTGTTCCAGGGGTACGCTATGACCCCCAGGTCCTGCTAACTTCGTACCTGAGGACCTTATCTCTGCCGCTCAGGAACCAGTTGGCGAAAGAGGCCAACATTAATATGCACAACTTTCCTTCGTTCAGCAAGGTGGCCCTAGACCTAGAAGCAAAGATAGGGCATGGACAGGCACCCACTACGGAAG